GAAGCGAGCGCACCTTGTGTTCATCCATAAGGAGAAGCGCCCGAAGAACGAGCCCAGATCCTACAGGCCGATCAGCCTACTACCAGTGCTGGGGAAGGTTCTCGATAGAATCCTCAGCGATAGAATCTTTTTCTATCTCAAGCGGAAAGGGCAGCTACACCCGCAACAATATGGATTCCGCCCGAACATGTCGACCTGCCATGCATTACACCGTGCGGTGGAACTGGTTCGCCAGAACCGCCGGCAGGGGCTCCACACGTCGCTTGTTTCGATGGACGTTGCTGGGGCTTTCGACAATGTTTGGTGGCCATCCATTGTGGGTGAGCTGAGGAAGGCAAACCTGCCGACCGCCCTTGTATCACTTTCTAGGAGTTTCCTGAGTGACCGCTCGGTTGTCTACGAGACACCAAATAGTAGGTATGAGAGGACGCTTGAAAGGGGCTGTCCACAGGGTTCCTGTATTGGTCCCCTTTTGTGGAACGTTCTAGCAGACACGGCGTTGCGGCTGGTCCTTCCAGACCAAGTCCAACTGCAGGCTTATGCTGACGACCTATTGTTAGTAGTTGCAGGCTATAGTCGACGCGACATGGAGGTTCGCGGCAACGAAGCAATAGAACAGCTCGTTCGCTTGGGGGAGCTGCATAAGCTCTCCTTTAGCCCTGAGAAATCAGAGGCCCTGACGGTGGCCCGAAGCGGGGTATTGGCACGCCGGCCTATATACCGCATCCGGGGCAACCCCATCCGAAGGGTGAATGAGTTAAAGTACCTCGGTGTAATCATCGACCAGACACTATGCTGGACTCCCCACCTGAGGGACGTTCGAGTCAGAACGAACCGAATGATAGCGGCACTATCACGACTAGCAAGGCAGGATTACGGGCTGAGTGGCGAAGCGCTTCGTACCATCTACAAGATGTGTGTGGAGCGCGTTGTCTGCTACGCCTGTGGCGTTTGGTGGAAAGACACCGCCAACGTCTGTCAGAGTAGGACACTACTCACGATCCAGCGTCCCGCTGCTTTGCGGATCACGCGTGCGTACAGAACTGTGTCAACGGATGCGGCCCTGGTCTTGGCCGGGCTGCTCCCTTTGCCTCTGGTTGTCAGCCAAGAGGCAGCCTTCTACAGAACAACGGTGGAAGGTAGAGAGGCCATGCATTGTAATCAGAAGTACCCGATCAGACTTAGGCGTCAGACAGACGTACTAAAGATCCATCCTGCCCTTAGGATTGGACTCGATTGGGAAGTCGGTGAACCGACTGGTACTGGTGTTGAGATATACACCGATGGCTCAAAGGACGGCAGCTTAGTAGGCGCCGCATACTGCGTCTTTTCCGACGGAGTTGAAGTGTACAGCAGAACTGTCAGACTGAACGAGGAGGCGTCCGTGTTCCAGGCGGAACTGGTGGCCCTGGAGGGGGCGTCCCAGTGGATCCTACTACATCCGGGTCCAGAGCCGGTCACGGTTTACTCAGATAGCCAGTCGTCGTTACAGGCTTTAAGCGACGGGTACCATCGTGACCCATTGGTACACGAGATCAGAGGTAGGGTACTGAGGGCGAGGCACGAGCGACACGTTGCCCTGCGGTGGGTAAGAGGCCACACCGGTGTCCTGGGCAACGAACGGGCCGATCAGCTGGCAAAGGCGGGAGCCAGTGGCCCATTTGTTACGAGGATGGTAGATCCCTCGACTACATACATAAAAGGTACTCTACTGCAGAGATCGATGATAAGCTGGCGAGAGCGCTGGACTCTAAGTACAGTAGGTAGGTCAACCTACGCCTTCGTGCCTGTAGTTGGCCTCACTCCGATAAGTTGTTGCTCGTTGTCGACTCAAATCTTAACTGGCCACGGGAGGTTCCCCCACTTCAAGTCCAAATTCGGACAAGGAGATGGTAGCTGCCCCTGTGGTAGTCCTCGCGGCGACGCGAGGCATTACGTACTTGACTGTCCCCTAACAAGGGACTTCCGCCTAGGGGCGGACCAAGTTGACTGGTCTAAGCCCCCTGAACAAGTACTTCGAACGCTAGCAGCTAGTAAAGGGAACCTTAAGAAACTAAAGGAGTTGATGGGAATTGTTATTGATCTATTAGATCGATAGGTTAGCAAATGCCTCTCATCGGGTCCCCTTCTTTATAGAGGTGGGGCCCCGCCGCCCGTTCGATAGCGTACCTTATAGGTATAGCTTACATATGTACAGTATTCTGTACAACAAAACGCATGTCCGTAAGTGAGTTAGACCCGAGAAGCGATGAAGGCGAGGAAGGCAAGGAAGGTAATGAAGGCAATGAGGGTCGGTACTCCTCGGACTACCTTGACCCGAGCCAGAACCGGAGCCAGAGCCCTAGCACTACTCTTGGGCCTGACTTTTATTGTCCCAGCGCTCGGTTGCCACCGGGCGATGGACCGGCCTATGATTATGACATCGTCTCTTTGGATACCCTGTAGTGCCATTCGGCGGGGCAGGGTCAAACTCTGAGTTTGTTATGAGGTCTAGTAACAATTGTTTCAATAAAAGTGTGGTTAATGATCCATCATTAAAAGAAAATTGATAGAATAGCATTATCCTGATTCTGCATGGCCCAAGAAAGCAAAAATGACACAAAAGCAGCTAGTAAAGGGAACCTTAAGAAACTAAAGGAATTGATGGAAACCGTCATTGATCTACTAGATCTATAAGTTAGCAAATGCCTCGTATTCATCTTACTGGGCTCCCCTCTACATAGAGGCGGGCCCCGCCGCCCGTTCGATAGAGTACCTTATAGGTAGGGCTCTAATATGTACAGTACTCCTGTACAACAAAACACATGTCTGTATGAGAGTTAGACCCGAGAAGCGATGAAGGCAAGGAAGGCAAGGAAGGTGATGAAGGCAATGAGGGTCGGTACTCCTTAGCTACCTAGACCCGAGCCGGAACCAGAGCCAGAGCCCTAGCACTTCTCTTGGGGCTGACTACTATTGTCTCAGCGCTCAGTTGCCACTGGGCGATGGACCGGCCTATGATTATGACATCGTCTCTTTGATTACCCTGTAATGCCATTACCCTGTAATGCCATTTGGCGGGGCAGGGTCAAAACTCTGAGTTGGTTATGAGGCTAGGGGGTCGCCAGAATTTTGTAAGTTGTAAAGGGGTCGCGTATTCAAGAAGGTTGAAAAACACTGCAATAGAGCATCGATTATTCGACCGCCGATTAACCGTCACATCTGTTAACCGACCGTTCTAGTTGGCAAATTTGAAATGACCGCTAGTGATGTGGCGCTACAATATTTGGCTGTCTTGGATACTTTAATATTATTTTTGTTAAATTTTTGCGTGTTTTAGCCGGCAACAACGATTCGGCCATTGAACGGAGGCCAGTATTTAAACATACTTAATTTTCTAATTATGAGTGGTTGTTTGTTTTGTGAGCAATAAAATAATTTAAAAATAATTTTTAACGATACAATAGCGACGATTATTATTTTTAAAAAATTTGTTAGGTTAAACATCGATGAAAATTCAACGCGAAGTTGGTTAATAGCGATATACTAATATACTAATTACATGGGATATCATAATATACTATAGTAATAATGTATTTTTTTCATTCTTTTTGGTTATCCGATTTTTTCAGTTATCCGATTAACTTCAGTTCCCAATTGAGTCGGATAATAGATGCTCTACTGTATATTTGCTGTGATTAATAATAATATAAAAGTTATTTTTAAAATAAAATCTCATAACAGCCAGGAAACTTACGCAACTCGTAACTGGATTTTTTTAACTCGTAGAAACATTTTAGAAAAATAAGCCAATTAATATATGTAGGCTACAAAAAAGTACATTTTATAGAAATATAATATTAGAAGTTTAAAATTCTAATTTATAAATATAGAATTATTTGATTAGCCTATATGCGTCCAAAAACTATGTATTATTAATAAAATAATACCGAAATTCAGCTTTTCGTAAGAAAATTTATTAGATAGGTCAGGTACATTAATCAATAAATAACGCTAATCTTTAAAAAAATTCGATTATCTTACAATTTTCAAATCATTTTTTATTATTTATTGCTTACTTGTAGTAATGTTTTAGTCGCGTTCCTGAGTTTTAGTTTAAGTAGTAAAACTACATTCAGCAGACTACATCCACAAATACTGCTTCATTTAATACATTAAGTTTTATACTTTATCTGCATTTTCGTTTTTATCTCAGTATATTTATTACCATAAACTTTATACTTCTGCTTTGATAACTTAAGAAACTAATTACATATGCCCGCAAAAGCTTTAAACTTGTAGTTATTATTATTACGTTAAATTATTAAATACTGTTAAATTGATAGCGAGTTGTTTACTTAACAAACTGCATATCTATTACGTTAATAACAGATTTATTATATTTATATTAAAAATCACTTACTGATTTAAAAGATTCATGTCTGACTGTATTAATGTCTTCTATGTGAGCATAAAATTGCTATAACGAACTTATCATACGAAAAAATAAAAGATAAAAAAAACTAAAATAAAAAAACGTCGAAATGATGTAAATATAAGCTTTAATCAAGCAGAATATGAATTTCGGGTATTATACCTCTATTCAGTTCTGTTTACAGTGTATATGATATTAAAAACGAAAATTTCTTTGCTATTTTAAAGTATTGCGAAATAATTTCATGTTTTTCATACATATATGCATATATTTCACTAGGAGTAAAGTACACGCATATCTCCACCGTGTACGTACTAAAATACTTATTTATTTTTTATTAAACGAACGAAAAAACCTTAGTGTTTTCAATGGACTAGAAGATAGCTTATCTGAAAAGCTTTAAAACAAGACCTCAACGAACTCTATGTAGAGAGTAACCGAGGTATTAAAGGTAGTCCGTTAATTATTGGACATACTGTATATATATTTTTATTTTATACTGTAGTATTTAATATTATTACTGAATCATTTTTCAATTAAACTACATTTTTATTGTAAAAATTATCATATCATTTTGTATTTTCAGTGGAACATCGTTTGTGGTCAAGAATGGAAAACAGCCCTTGCTAATTCTATGCTATCTATTGGATGTGTCATTAGTGAATTTTGGATCGGGTTTATCAGCGATAAGTATGAAAAACAACGCAGTTTTTTGAATCCCATATCTGATACAATCTAACATTAATTTCCTTTAATAATTTTGCAGGTGGGGTAGGAAACCATGTCTATTCATCATGCTCGTCTCCACTATTTTGATCGGGTTGGTGTCTTGTTATCCGCCAAACTATACGGCGTACATTATATATAGAGGAATCTTAGGTTTTACTTGTTCTTCGTGTTATCTTACTCCGTTTATTTTGTGTAAAGTTTTTAAAAGATTTTTATTATGCTAAATCGAATTAGTTATAACTCTATTGGTAAACAATACACATTTTTATAGTTACAGAATTAACGACACCCAATAAACGATGTATTACAGGAGTGATCTGTGGAATTATTTTTGCTGTAGCTTTAATTATATACACTGCAATAGCATATTTATTAAGAGATTGGTTTTATATAACACTTATGTACAGTATTCCGTTTATACCACTTTTGGCATATTGGTGGTAAGTATTTTACACTTTTCTAAATAAACTTTGGGCAATGAAAGCAATGTACTGTATACATAAAAGACGTTTTTATAATTTTAAATAATATTTATCAAAATTACTCTATTAGGATGATTTTCATATTTAAAAAAATATAATACAGGTAACCCTCGTTACAACACGGTACTTTTATTACACGGTTTCGCTCTAACACGGTTGGAAAATTGAGGATTTTTCAGAATTTCTGCTCGAATACCGAATTGTTCGAGTACCGAGTTACCTTTGCATTTCGTTTGTCACTTTACGAATGATTACTTGCTTGCTGTTTTAAAAAAGTTTAATAACACTTACCGTATACCATTACTTCTGGTTTCACTCTAACGCGGTTTGGGAAATCCTCTGTACAAAATATCACAAATTTTAAGTGTAAACTCTGTTATTCGGTAGTTTTTTACTCAAGTAAGCACACGCCCTTCGAAATTTGCCCACGTACTGAAAATTCAATTTGTTTTGTGTTTTTCGTCAGGTTTCATTTAATGAAAACCGATAGTAGAATGTATTTGTTCCTTGTCCTAGCATTTCTATCATGCGGGTGTCGTCCTTGCTTTCACACTTTAGCTCTTAAGACTCACTGTGTTTCTTTTTTATACATCAACCTTGATATTTTGTAAAGTTTTAAAAACATTTTTAGGTAAGTGTTATTAAACTTTTTTAAAACAGCAAGCAAGTAATCATTCGTAAAATGACAAACGAAATGCAAAGGTAACTCGGTACTCGAACAATTCGGTATTCGAGCAGAAATTCTGAAAAAAAGTCGTTCGGTACTCGTCTAAACAAAGGCGATCCTCTCGAAAAAATCTTCTATTAATAATATGTTAATATCCATACATAATTATGATAAAATTATAAAAAAAAAGTAATGACGTTGCTGATATTTTTGATCAAAATCGACAAAAATCTTAAATGACGATGATACTTCGTAAAAAGAAAACGCCCTCGTTTAACTAATATTAATATTAACAGTACTTTTAATTGTGCTTGTTAATTAATTTTGATTGCTTTAATAAACATATTTCTCTTAGTAACAAAAAAAAATAGTATACTTTTGCTAATTTCTGGAACGTAATCTTATGTTTTGCATAAATCCTTTGCTTCGAATTCGCGTAACACGGCACTTTTTCGGAACGTATCTACCGAGTTATACGAGGGATACCTGTAGTTTAAACTATTCTTTTGTAAACCTACCTTCTTGCTTAAATATCTATGACTTATTATACACCAATGATAAGTTTGTTATAAACTTTTTGCCTTTAGGTCCCTCATCAGCAGGTGTTATATCAGTTAAATTACTAAAATACAAAAATTGTCCAAAATTTATAAAATTTAAATTGTAATTATATGCAGAAGTTAGGAATAAGTTCGTCAAATTATTTTAAATATCTAATTACAGATTACATTTTATAAATTTAAAAAAATTTCATTGTATAATTAAAATATGTTTGTATTTTAGAAATGTAATTGATAGAACACCTGCTGATAAGTAAGGAAAAGGTACGAAACACAATATAATATTGTATGCAGGTGCAAGTAAAACTTTCAGACCAAGAGACTGATTTAATTTAATTTCATCCTCAACTTAAATCAGTATAATAAGTCTTATCAATAGATTATACTCACAATTGACTAATATTAATAAAATAATATTTAAAAGACTATGTGGCATAATTAATTAGTGCTTCTAAAGTGTGGGAGTAGCCAAGGACGTAGGTCTTAATCTACGCCACTTACGGGCACTAGTCGGTAAGACCAGCTCTCAGTCGTCCAAAGAACGGCCTTTCCCAGTCGTAGGGAAACGAGTGTGGAGGGCCTTACTGTTTTATTATAATCTAGAGCGGAAGTTGGTGATGGCGAATTCACCTTCTTCCTTCGTCAGGTTCCCGACACCAGTTTGTCAATTTATAGAGGCGCGGACAAACACGCGATAACGATCTGATTCGGAATGAATTGAGGAGACATTCTGTATAATAAACATAAGTATAATTTAATAAAACTAAACAAACGAATACAAAAATTCGATTACAACCATTTAAGCGACAAACTAGAGGCTACGACTAAATCTATGCTAATGCGCGTTCGAGAGAGAGCTCACAAAATTGTTCTAAACATACGACCTGTTAGTTGTCGTCTTCGTTTCTGTATAGGTAGAGGACACCTTGTAGATAGAGTTCATATTACTATCGTATGGGAGATCAATTCGTGCACAAAATATAAAATATCACTTCTTCTAAGTGTAGACTCGGGACTTAGTCTATCGTGCTCCGTTATGGGCGTTGGCCATCAGGAGGAAACGTATGTGGAGTCTGGACACTTTCAAATCGGTCGGAGGACTCCTCGAATTCTGACTAATTTCTCCTTTTATCTCAAAATTTCGTCCAATCATCGTTCAGTAACTCTTTCGTGAGAACGGATGAAAGGGGGATGAATGAGGGGTAACCATTTCCCATCTGAGCGAGATTTTTAACGGATAAGGGAAAAACAGCGGATGTTCTCTTCTGTGGAAAGGAAGTGTCATCTGTCATCTATTTTTCCCACGTCTAAAACACTAGTTTTTTCACACAAAATGAAATAATATTTTGTCGATAATTTAAACATATTAATAAAAATTCATAAATGAGGCCCAGGGGCCTTTCGGATCTCACATTACTCCCTTATCTTCAAAAATCACACTACATTTAAAGAAGGCGTGATTTTTCACTGCAATACATAAGTTCGAATTGCTCTCTCTCTTTCTCAAAATTGCGTTATACATAATAATAAAATCATAAAAATATACAATAATGCAAATTAAATTCAAAATTGAAATACATGGAAATAATATAATAAACAATTCATCAGATTAATAATATTACTAAAATAAACATAATGAACACAAGTGTCTTCGTCTGGAATTGACGGTAAAAGTGGACATAGTTCTGTCACTGGTTTCGAATGCACCTCTCTGTTGCTGAGAGTCTCTATGGCAGCACCTCTGTTGGCTGACTTCTTATAGTTGCAATAATTCAGGTATATTAGAAGATCATGTGATGTCTTCTTGTTTCAAAAAGCACCTGCTAACAGTTCAAAGTTCACTGTGCAGTTCAAAATGATATAATGTGTCTTCTTCCTGTATGTTGACACACTTCTTTTTCTGCTAAAACTTCATTTCAAATAACCACAAAAGTTCAGGTGGTTGAGTTCATTAAAGGTTGTATGACGCCAGGGTCATTTAAATCCAATTTTGGGCAAAGTTTCTTTTCACCAAAGTATTGTTCATTTTAAAGGTAGTATGTTTAACAAATACATATCTCTAATAAAGTCTCTCTCTCTCTTCATACTACTCTAAGTCTTATATCTAGATTATTCTATATAATATTATCTCTATTCCAATCAATCACTTTAGTTTATCAATTTGAGTGGGGTGTACATTCCTTTAAATAAGCTTTTTGTTAATATCAGGAAAGGTACTTACAAACTAAAGATATATGTAGCTAAAATCGATCATTATAAAATCAAAAATTTTCAATCAAGAATGAAATTATCATCTCAAACGCAAATGTGAATTAAAGTCGATATGTTCGAACAAAGTGCTTCTTTATCTGAGTTGAGCTTGAAGCTTGTTCAGTTGAGCTTGCAACAGGTTCGACTATTTCCTGTTCCTCTTCTTCCGTATTATTTCCTTGAGGAATTTCTTGAAGTGGAATGTCTTGTTGTGACATTTTCTTGATCCTCTTCTCAATTCTTCGTTTCCAACAAATATGCTTGACTATATAATATGTGCAGATAAGTAGAATTAATATTCCTATACTTCCAAGGATAATCCATATGTATGTGATTGGAATGGTTGGAGTTTATGAAATTGAAAGATCTTCATTTTCTTTCAATAATCTATCCAAATCTNTTGGTGACATTATTTAAGCATATTTAATAAAAATTATTAAATGAGGCCTAGGGCCTTCCGGATCTCACAAAAGTTTTAAATTAACCCAACTTATTTCTGCAACGCTTACAAATCAGAATAAACTTAATTTTAAAGTGATGTAATGTAATATTTATATGTTGAAATAATTTATAATTTCGATATTTGCAGGTTTGTTCCGGAATCGCCGAGATGGCTCATAAGCCAAAATCGCATCGACGAAGCCGAAGAAATCGTTCAGAAAATTGCTAAATTTAATAAGAAAACCATCGACAAGGATTTTCTAAAGAAATTCCTCCAACAAAAAAAGGTAACATTTCATTATTTAACATAAACTATAATCTCGTTACGTGATTAAATGCTTAAATCCAGAAAGAAGGATGCGAAAGTCAAACGTCCAGTTCATCGTCGTATTTAGAACTGTTAAAATACCCAAATATGAGATGTCGACAATTTATTCTGTGCTTCGATTGGGCAATAATATCTTTGGTGTATGCTGTCTTGCTATACAACGCGATGAACATGAAGATCGACGATTATCTTGCAAATGCCATTAACTCCTTTTCGGAAATACCAGGAGCTCTGATCGTTATGGTAGCCGTGGATAAGATCGGTAGAAGATTAAGTCTCTTCTTGTCTATGGGAATTGCCGGATTGGGGTGTTTGACTGTGATGTTTTTTCCATCAGGTAATGTTTATGTATCGTATTTTGCGACATAGGCCCATAGCATAAATATACTGTCTTCAGTATGTAAAATTTTTTAATTTCCAAAAAGCAGGTAAACTTGTGTATAAATGTGATTTTGTTTTCATACACTAAATTTTTCTCTTCAGATTATGTTTGGACCGGTATTTTACTAGTTAATATTAGCAAAGCTGCTATATCGGGTGCATTTAGTATGGTTTTCGTTTACGGTTGTGAATTATTTCCCACATCTTTACGAAATTCTGCATTGGCTCTACCTCATTTAATGGGTATACTTGCCGCAGTTTCAGCTCCATATATATTACTTTTGGTGAGTAATTGTTGACGCACATAAATATTCTTTTAGAAAAAATTCTTTTTTACAACAAGATTCAATTTTTCTTTAGTCCATGTACCGAACGTTTTTGCCACTTACTTTAATTGGAATTTTGAGTATATTGGGAGCATTAATTTGTTTAATTTTGCCCGAAACGTTAAACGTGCATCTTCCACAGACCATCGAAGATGGAGAAAATATGGGTATAAATAATTGTTTTATCTTCTGGTAAGTTCTACTAATAAATTATTGTTTAATAATATGTTTTAATCCTTTTGTTTCCTTCTTACATAAATGTAAAATACGAAAAAAGTTATATTTTTCGTACTTTACATTTATGTAAGAAGGAAACAAAAGAAAAAAATTCTGACTCCATCGGTTTTTATAATTATTTTGGAAAATATGCTTTAATTACGATGGTTGACATAAATAAAGACTTTTATAGCGGCATTCCGCAGAAAGTGAAAAATATAAACGATTGCTTAGCACAGGGTACGGCAACCTTTTGAGTCGGAAGAGCCAAAATTACAATTTACAAAATTTCAAAGTTTTTAAAGAGCCACAAAATTTTTTCTTGCCAACAATAAATAGTACTCGCATAAATAAACAAATAAAGTTTTTTGATAGAAAAAAACTAATCTATTTATTCATATATACAAGGTACAGTAGTGTTTTTCACAACAAATTAGATAATAGAAACATCCGACGACAGCGTCATTCGAGAGCTTCTGACGGACTGACGACAGTGACGACGCGTGTCATGGGGGAGGGGTGCGGTGAAAAGCGAGTACAAGTGGCTGAGAGATAGAGCCGCCGCAAACTACAGGATGCGGGAGCTAGCGTACGCTCGCTCGCGCTCCTAAGCTCCGCCTTTTTTCCCATGATGCTATGAGCCATTTTTGCTAGGTAAACTACGCGGGCAAGAAGCAGCCGCAAACTACACAACGTTTGCTCGCGTAACGTAGTCCATATGTCGTGGATTCCACAGATGTAGAATGGCTATAGAACAAGATTTTATTATAACCTATACTTGTAATCAGTCAGTTTTCGTTCCGAACTTTGAAACAGCATGGAAAAAACATGTTTACTAGTTAAGCCTAACTATTTATACTGTATATTACTATTTACATACAACGGTTATACTATTTTCTTTTCAATACTGAATGTATTAATCATGTAATTTACGTACATCGATAAAATTCTATTATTTATTTTTCGATATGTGACATGTTTATGTAGTCATCCGTCTTCCCCGCTCTCTCTTGCTAGCGTAAATGCTCTAGTTGTTAAATTCTGTGAACAGCGAGCGTACTCTCGTATCGCTGCGCTAGCGAAGGAAAAACAGAGCGGGCAAGAAGAAAGGGGCGGAGCCTTCGACGTCATCGGTTGTGCTAGCGCATGTTTGCTAGCGTTTTGCTCTAGCAAAGCGCTAGTTTGCGGCGGCTCATAGAATCAGTGCCTAATCCTCGTTAATCGATTCAGAACGATTTTTAAATGTCTTTTTTTTTTGATAAAATAAATAATATTTGCGTATGGAACTAAAGAGCCGCAGCTTCACATTCAAAGAGCCGCATGTGGCTCGCGAGCCGCAGGTTGCCGATCGCTGGCTTAGCATCATTGAAGGGTCTAATATCTGTATTTATATCTGTCTTAGTTCGTCGCGTCTTTACAGAAGAGTCGAGTTTATACCTTTAACATTAGCGAGGTTGCGGCCGAAGTTTTCAACGCGAAAACGTGAACTTCAGACGTTCAGCGCCGCCTTCCTGTAAGCCTACAAGTTTGACAATGGCGTTTAGAACGTCGAGCATGATTCCACTGATGTTTCAAAATGTCATTGTCAAACTTCTAGTCTTACAGGAAGGCGGTGCTGAACGTCCGAAGTTCACGTTTTCGCGTTGCAAACTTCGGTTGCAACCTCGTCGTTAACTCGTCTTTTTATTCCATACAAAGTAGCAATCATTGATTGAATTTTTAGCATTCGAATGTTGCTCGCAATCGAAAAAAACAAATTAATTGGGTGATTTATTGTGAAGCGACTACTCGTCTTTTTAAAGAGCTACCTAGCAAGACTGGATGGAGCCATCGTTTTTAGCACCTCGTCATTCATCTATCTTGCGCCATGATAACAGAATACTGTACCGCTGTAATGTAACAGAAGAGACTTAAAAACCTGAAGTTATAGGCTATTCTGAGCCGTCTTTAGAGTTCTGATTTGGAATCACCATAGTTGTGTTCGTCCCCAAAATGAAAGGTTTGCAAATATGGATTAAACGTTTCGAGACGTATTGCTTTAAATATTAATTGTGTTTGAATAATTATAATAAAGAGAAATAGCTTTAATATTCTTCACAACTGTTCATATTTACCTATATCTTCCGAAACTAATTTTATAAAAATTGAAACCTTATTTATTAAATCAAACATTGGAAGTTATTATTTGATAAATAAAATAACAAATATTCTACTGATCTAGTTTAAAAAGATTTCCATAGAAATTTTGATTATTTTTAGAATTATTCTACGCTAATAGCACGAAATTAAACATCCATTTTCAATATTAAATTAAATTAAAAGTTCTTCAGAAGTCAGCCAGTTTCTGTAAATGCATTCGAAATCTCTTCGCGTTTTCTAATTCTTAAAATTTCTTTCAATTTATTTCAATATTGAACAACCGGTCAAAAATTTAAAAAGAGAAATTTATCAAAATTTATTTGACTGCAATTTGAAAAAATTGTATACCAATAAATTTTTACTGTCCTCCATGAGCCAGTCTGTCTGGTGTCTGTCCTTAATCTCGAGAAGGGAGTTAGATAGATGAAAACCGAGACCGGATACGGAAAGCTCAGGAGCAGAAGGCCGATTAACCATGTGCGAATTTTCGGTTTGAACCGGAAATCACGTTACTTCAATTCAAGCATTTCCTCCCTGAAAAGAGATGATCAGCAGGCTCTATTGGGAACAGGAAAGTATTGATGTATGACTGGGGCAAGACAATAGAAATTTGAGGTGGAGAACATTAATTTATTTAATTTAAAATATAAGATATGTTTAAAAATTACGGCAGGCATTCTGACCGTGTCACAATAAAATAATTGCTTGTAAAAAATACATTCGTCATCTTATCTGAAAGACATATTAAGATGACAATTATATTTCCATATATAATTTAATATTAAAGTGGTTGAGTACGCAGAGAAAGATGGATGAAAGTAAGTAATATTAGCATGAAATTTTAATATAATGACATCACTGTATAAAGCAGGAAGAGATAATATATGACTTATGACAATTAAATATTAAAATAAATATTGCAAGCTTTAAAAACTATGTGGAGGACCGGGTTCTTAGTTATTGTATTTTACTGTAAATGTCAACTTATTCTATAAAACATTCAAAGTGAACAGTAATTATTCTTCTACCTTTCCCCGGTGTTGAAATGTTATCTTTCTTTCTTTCTCTCTTGGTTTATATGAAGTTCTGTCATAAATGTTGCAATATTTTATATACAAAGTAAGCTCCTAACACTATAGAAATATTTTTTATAAAGTATCAAACACATGACAGATCTATAACATAAATTTTGGTAATAAATATTACTAATAAAACTTTTTATAAATTTTTTTCAGTAAAAGAAGAACTGAAGCATATAATTTAGTCGAAACAAAGAGAAGAAGTATTTAGCAATAAAATCATTATAAACTAGGACAAATTTAATCGAGACAAAGAGATAAAAATTAAAATTAATAAGAATTATTTACGAAAAAATCGTTATAATTAAGGATGATTTTCTCTTGATTAAATCAAATCTATGACCATACAAATAATTTGGGTCCTTACAAAATATTCCTTTTTAATAATCCAATTAGAGACAGATGGCTAACAACTTAAAACCGACGAAATGACATTAAAAATATATACAGTACAATACAATTGACGCTGATATTTTCTTAGAGGATCCGACGCCAAAAACACAGCATTAAAATTCTTCATAATATCACTCAGGTAAAAATCAGTTGCATTTATATCCATCTTGCAGACCTCTGGTGGAAAACCGGAACAGCTTCATAATTTCTATACTTACATTAGTTACAAAGTTCCAAGGATAAATTTGTTGATTAAATTAAATCTATTTTAGATTTAATTAAATTAAATCTATTTTAGATTTAATTTAATCAACAAATTTATCCTTGGAACTAATGATTTTCTCTTCTTTATTGTAAAAAGTATGAAGCACTTTTATAAAGTCATAAAAGTGATTAAGGATGTCAAATTAAAATAGGAAAATAAAACTTTAGCGCGACCATTCGTTCACTTTGAAATTAGAAATAAAGTCTGGTACTAAATTAAAGTGCATAAAATAATAAAAATTATATATATGAATCAGATCTATGCATTTTTAAGAGTTAATTATTACATGATTTTGCCGTAATACTGCCCTACAGGTACATGTGTTCTTTCTACTTAATATTTATTCAAAAGATCCGTTCACCCCAGTGTTCGTCGGTGGGAGAGTGGCACTATTTAGGAGTACGCTACATCGAAGTTTGATCGTACATAAATAGGGTACTCAAGATTTTAAATATGTAACCGAAAATATTCATATTAATTGTGTTATATGAATTATTGAGGAGAAAATGACTGTAATAAAGATGAAAAAATTGTTACAAATTATTCATTGGTTTGGTATCGTAGAATAAGGCAACACAATCGAGGACAGAATTCGTTTACTCGTCTATATATAATTCACGATGAGTAAATTATTACGAATGTAACAGACGTTATCTACTAATATATTTTGTTTAACTTAATTTAAATCAATCAATATAACAACAGGTTCTGTACACTTTGTATATGTCCACAGTAGTTGTTGCTTTCCGAAAAAATGTCGTTATGCGAAACCGGCGAAACCATGCTACACGAAATAAAGGACTAATGTAAAACATGGGGTTACGAATATAGCAGAAGAAAAGTATGGCGATCGGTGAAAAAATGACATTCCAAAATTTTTAAACTTAAAACACCTTGAAACGTCGAGAAATGCAAAAAATGAAAAAAATTAGATTTTCTTCAGTACAGTCGACCACCCTATAACGCGGGTTCCTATAACGGAGATTCCTATAACGTGGCGAAAAAATTGCGACAGTATTCGTATAAAGACGCTAAAAGGGACTCGTAAAACGTCGTCGCCGACTCGTGTCGCGACAGGATTGGTCGAATCTGGACCAATAGTAGACGAGCAGCCGAACTACTTACACGCTACAGAGAGTTTAGGCGAGTAAGTTGAGTTTACTATCGTCTGTACAGTATTATATATAAATTAGGTACTGTATATATAATTATATATTAACTTAATTTATTTTAACTTTATTATAATTTTTGTGTATTTATTTTTTGAGAAATTTAAATTTATAGCTTTTTCTCTACTTTATAGAGCTCTCTGGCGACGACTAATATTATTACGATATACAAAACTGTATTTCTAGATTTTTCTACAGTGTGCAGAGCTATAAATCTGTAAATGTAACATTTTGTAAGAAAAATAAATCTACCTGGGGATTTTTTAATTGCTAAATTGCTAAATAGAAAACGTAGTAACTCTCGAATAAAATCTTAGTCTCGAGGTTGTAAAAGGCGTGCAGAAATTCTGACATAACTTTTTGCTTTATAGTGATACGCATATGTGTTGTANATTATATATAAATTAGGTACTGTATATATAATTATATATTAACTTAATTTATTCTAACTTTATTATAATTATATATATATATACAGTAGAACCTCGATTATCCGGACCTCTATTATACGGATTTTTGATTATCCGGATAAAATAAACAAAAATTTTACGAATTTGCTGATTTGCACTAGGCGAATTACGATACTGTTTATGTACGTGATGGAATGCATAATTTTTTTTTGTTTCAACAACGTCTCACCCGGCACAGTGGCCATAAACTCTTAAATATATTTTGCGTCGTAATAAACATATAACTTGACATACGTATTTATGAAAAAATTTATTTTCAAATTACATTATTTCCATGACCAAGGGTGGCGTAAGGCATGGGCAACGTGGGCCACCGCCTATGCCTAGCGGTCCGAAGAGCCTCGCGCCTCGAAGGTTTATGCATTACTTAAAAGCCGTGAACGCGACGAAAAAATTTTACTCGTCGTAAAACGATAAATAGTTTGTCAAAGTTTTATTCATAAAAATGTAGTTTCAACTGCTTTTTATTTTATAAAATCCGTCTTTCGCCACCAGAGGGCCTTTTAAACAATAGGTAGTCTGTTAGTGTTGGTCAGTAGTAGTCCAAATTAAATACGAACGTTTGTTTCTTGAAAATTTGATCACGATTTAAATACAGTATTTACTTTTAATATTGCCGATATGTCATCGAAAAGAAAACATGTTGTATTATCATTAAAAGACAAATTAAAGTACTTGTTTCGATTATCCGAATTTCTCCTTATCCGGACTACCTTCATCCCCAATTAGTCCGGATAATCGAGGTTCTACTGTACTTTCCGCCGTCCAGCGCCACGCTACGGAGAGTTTAAACGAGTAAGTTGGGTTTACTATTGTCTGTACAGTATGTAAATTAGGTACCGTAAGTCTAATACAGTACTGTACTGTAATTTTATACATTTCTTGTGAAAGAAACATTTCTTATTCAACGGCCATAAAAATTATTTATATTAATGATGTCTCGAAAGGTAAACGAATTTTTCGCAAAAAAATAACTTATCAGAAATCGCGGCCGCCATTTGGTGCGCTGCTCCGCGACGAAAACAAGCTTAAGCAATGCCGACGTCGAACGGTGCACACTCGGTAAGTAATCCTACAATTTTTTGTTTATAGCATAGTTTATACGGATTATTCCCAAAAAATTATACGTAATTTGTAAATGTTTAGTCAAATTAGTCTAGAATCGATTAATTTTATGGAAGAAAACCTTTCAAACAGCCGTAGTCCGTAAACTTCACACGTGTCGGGCTGCGATTGGCTCATGTATTTAAGGATTCCTACAACGTGAAATTCGTATAACGTGGAACATATCTACGCGTTATAGGGGGATCTACTGTATGTGTGGATGGATGTTAGTGGGTGTGGGAGGAGTATCATTCTGTTTGAAGCTGAATGGCTCCTGAACTTTTTGTCGAAACTTTCCGAAATTAAGAAAATTGATGCTATTAAATTTTGGTGATTCCAGGTTAATGGGATGGAAAGATAAATGGGGTCCTGTTATATCTCGAGTTGGGTCAGACTTAATGACGATTTTTTTTCGTTATTAGCGCGTATAATTTTTGAGTAAAGCCCATCCTTACCCTCAAAATTAAAACTTTTGCTAATTTATAATACATAATTAAAAATATAAAAAGTTTTTAATAATAAAATATCATAACAGATGGAGCCACATACGCAGTTTTAAACGTCAGAAAAATTAAGTAATTCGTTTTTGGATTTTTTTATAACAATTCCGTTATGCGTACAATAGACCAGGCCACAGTACGTGGCCTGGTGACGAGGGACTAGATTCAGTGTAGTGAGGTTTTCCATCACGAACGATGACATCTGCAGTGAAGTAGCCGAGGCATTTTGTATGGCCATACAAATGTTTTCAACATGCAAATATGGTCGCAAATTGAGGCAATATTTAAACACAGCGTGATAACGTGATTGGTTTCCGCAAGAAAATTGGCCTAATGATCCCTCTGCTGGAAATAGGCACGTAGGCACGTAGGATTCTCTAATAGCCGATCGACGACGTCCTACCACTTCCTACCCTTAAAATTTCTCAACCAACTACGTTATTGTCCTCAAAGCAACTGCTTTGGCCACATGAAATCTGTGTTTGTAGCTCTGTCTCGTCTCCATAGCACTGTGTCCCAATCGGTGAAATTCAAGCACCATGAACGTCCAAGGAAATTTGGAGTATCAATTAATTAGATTTCTTGTATATATATATTTTAAATGGTTTGGTGTTCAACACCGAATTGTAAAAATTTGAAAGCCAAACGTATATATAATTAAAGGCTTTAACTAAATAAGTTTCAAAATAAAAAGCCATGTCAATGGTTCGTATAATAAAGTACGAGGATAAATTTATTTAGTTTGAAATGAAGAATTAGAGAAAAAATTTCGAGACATTTGTTAAAATAAGAATATATTTAGTTTTCTATATTCACATACACTTTTACATTACACAAACTGCAAACAGCTCAGATTAAACATTTTTAGAAATTAAAATTAGATGAAGAGTAAAGAAAACCATTCTCACACACTTTACATCTTATGTAAAGCAAACCTTCAAAAGTGTTTGCAAGATAATAATTTTCTTCGTTTAGGAACTTTCTTAAGCATATAAACGAAATTTATTTCTTTTTATAGTTTTAACTTTTTCTATGTTAAAAATTATAATTCGTCGCTAGACGAAGTAGTTAATTCCTTAAGGTATAAATATTTATCCGTTCAGTTCCGCGGCGATAAATATAGTTGAAACAAATCACTCGAATTCGTCGGCAGCGAACGGTTACACGTCCCCTTGCGGGAGATATCGGATTTTTTTTTTTTTTTTAANAAAAAAAAAAAAAAAAAAAAAAAAAAAAAAAAAAAAAAAAAAAAAAAAAAAAAAAAAAAAAAAAAAAAAAAAAAAAAAAAAAAAAAAAAAAAAAAAAAAAAAAAAAAAAAAAAAAAAAAAAAAAA